ACCTCATTTAGAGCTGTCAGCAAAATGCTTTTTTTTTTTTGTAATCATTTAATAGCTGATAATAAGATTGATAATAGCGATTATGTTGTTGCTAATGACGGCGATGATGATGATGATTTTGATGACGACAGTACGGAAGACTGATTGTTTAGAGCCTTTTTTATACATTCTTTAATTCTGTATCAATATAATGTACCAGATGAATGAATTGTTGTTAACTCCAAGTTGTTATTTTTATTGTCATTTTTTTTTTTTTTTTTGTAGATGTTTGGATATCATTTTCAAGTAAACATTGAAAGTAAGTAAATTTAAAAGAAACAGGAAAGAAAGAAATTTTCGGACTTTGAAGGGTGGAGAAGGAGAGAGGAAGAAAAAACAGCTTAATCTTAGATTATGATCGAGCACCAACAAAACAGGTGGAACTGTGAGTGTATCTGTCTGAGTCTGTCTGTTTTGGGTGTCTGATTTATGTGTCTGTTTGTGCGCAGTATATTATATATATATACATATTGAAGGTTTCTTTCCGAGGCATTTCGCTATTCCTTCCGTCTTCTTAACTCAAATTTACACCTTTCACATAGAACCTATTTTTCATTGTAATTTTACGTTCTTTTGTTACTTTTGTTTCCTCATCGTCTTCTTCTGCTTCTGCTTCGTCTTCTTTTTCTTTTTCTTCTTCATTTTCATCTTTTTCAATCTCTCTCTCTTTTTTTTTTTTTTAATTTTGTTTAAAAGAAAAAAAATATCTAACAAAATATCTGGTAACAAAACAGAAAAAAAAAAAACCTTTTCAATCAAACTTTTCTTTTCTACTTATTATTCTGTAAAAAAGTTTCAGATTTCCGTTGGTCTGATTAGTAAACAAAAGAAAAACAAAGTGTAACCGAGAAACTGCAGGAAAAAAAAAAAGTGGTTAAGCAAGAACGGAAAAATTAATGCTGATAAAAACTGTTCCTTATTTAGATTGTGTTCTGGTATTTTTTTTCTGGTTTTTTTTTTTTTTTGCTCGAAC